AAGCAGAAGCTCTAGGAAAAAAGTTACTACCTCTCAACTCTCTGGGATAAGAAGAGCCTTCCCTGGGCTTGGACTGAGAACTTGTGTCCTAGAGGTACTATTCTGACTAGATTCTATCAAGGGAGAGGGTGCAGGAGCTAAAATGCTAAAATGAAAATGGGAGCTACAGGTCCCCATCTGCAACTACAATATAAGATGCCTACAGATGTGATCAGTGTGATGGGTGTGGGGGAGAGGTACAGAGGAATGGATGGATGCGGGTAGCAGGCTGCTTGCTGGCCTTCACTTCTTGGCCTTGCCCTAGGCAGCCAGAGCTTCCATGGCTTTACAGATGGTCTCTTCATCCCCTAGGAACTGCATGGGCTTGATGGGCTTTAAGTTCTTATCCAATTCGTAGACAACAGGAATACCAGTTGGCAAGTTCAACTCCATGATAGCTTCTTCAGAGAGACCTTCCAGATGCTTGACTATACCCCGAAGGCTGTTGCCGTTTGCTACAATCAAGACCCGTTTCCCTTCCTTGATCTGGGGAACAATTTCTTCATTCCAGAATGGCAGGGCTCTGGCAATAGTGTCTTTCAGACTCTCACAGGAAGGCAGGTGATCTTCAGTGAGGTCTGCATACCCACAGTCCTTACTGATGTTACTGTAGAAGGGATGATCAGGCTCCATCGGAGGTGGTGGAACATCATAGGAGCACCTCCAGATCTTTACCTGAGCCTCACCGAGCTTGGCAGCAGTTTCTGCTTTATTAAGGCCAGTCAGACCCCCACAGTGCTGCTCATTGAGACGCCAAGTTCTCACCACTGGCAGCCACATCTGGTCAATGGCATCCAGTACTGTCCAGAGGGTCCAGATTGCTCTTTTCTGCACTGAGGTGAAGGAGATGTCAAACTCATTGCCAGCATCTCGTAGTGCCTGCCCACCGCGCTTCGCCTCCTCGTGGCCGGCCGGGCTCAGATCAGAGTGGTACCAGCCGCTAAAGCGGTTCTCCAGGTTGCAGGCACTCTCTCCGTGCTGGATCTGCACTAGTTCATAGGCGGCCATGGCGACGGGTTAGAGATGCAGTGCCGACTACAGCTCGCTGAGATTCTGGTGGCAGTTACCCGCCCCAACACACGCACCAAGCTGGCCGCACCTGCGCGCTAGCACCCCCCCCCCCATAACTTTAAAATTTCAATATCCAGTTCTTCATTTATAGCAAGTATACACACATCTGAATTTTTAT